CACTCAAGCCACCCCTGATGTCCATCGCCCCCTCTTGAGGAAGTCTGCACCAGCCACCCAGACCCCAAGGACCAGCCCCTGCTTTTCAGATGTGGAGCCAGAGTTTCCATCCATGGCAGCAGCGCCCACCAGTGGGGAACAGGACCGTTTTCCCTGGCACCTCTTGGCCCCAAGAGGTTGGAGCTCAACGCCCTCACCAGAACTTTTTCTGGCTGAGGGAGGGACTGCCAACATCCATCAGACTCTGACTTTGCCTTCCCTTTGCGCTTCATGCCTTTGGGACCAGTTGGGGGGAGGGCTGCCAACAGACAGCTGGCAGCCCTGTGAAACACCTGGCGGTATTTCAAGGACTCTTGGGATTTGTCTGCAAGCCTGCTGCAGTTTCAGTCACTCGCTGCAGGTGGGGGGGGGCGCCAGCCTCCACAAGGGCACGCTTTGGGGCCCCAGTGCCATACTGGGATACCCCTCAGGACTCTTCATCACCGGTCATCGCCTGGCCCAACCATCCAGCTGGGCCGGCGGGCGATGCCTCCTGAGATGGAAAAGGAATCGGAGGAAGCTAGTGGCAGGATCGAGAAGATGGACCACACCATCGGGAGGCAGCTGGCTGAGATCTGGGACAGGCGGGCCGGTCCTGGCTGGAGGCCCATTTTGTTTTGCCCTCGCTCATGGGGTGGGATGGCTCCTTCTATAAGGGTAGAGCTGAGTTCTCTTCTGGCAATGTGTTTCTCTTTTCCTCACAAGCCGGCAGAGCGAGAGAACTGTTCGCACCAGCGCCACCTAGCGGTAAGCCTATTCATTCCCTATTTTACAAGTGCCACTGTCAAAAAATTTTCAGCATGTATTTCTTTCTAGCTCCTTGCTTGTTTTCTCTTAATGTTTCTGATTTCTGTCTGTCAAGTGGGGTGACTGCCACTGATTTGCTAAACCATTGGCTTTGACCTCAGTCCTTTTTTTGGCAGACTGGCTCCTTTCTCTAGATTGGCTCAGAAAAAGGCTTTCTAGTTTTCTTGGGTCTCATAGTCTTCCTTTTGGTTTTGAGCTGCTGCTGGTCTCATGTTCCCGCTCTGTTCCAAATTTGCAAAAGGGGAAGCGTTCTGATCCGTCTCGCCAGATGGCCCTGCTGCTGCTGGGAAGGTACCATGCTTGGGCGGAAACTTATGAGCAGGCTTGCGCCTGCTTAAAAAAGTTTCCGAGTGGGGAATTTGATGGCGAGAGCCCCCGCCATGTAATTGGTCTGCAGTGCGGCAGGGAGTTCCGCAGTTCCCAGTGGTCACCAAGGGAGAAAAACGGATGAAATATGCACCAGCCAGCAGCTCAAAGCAAAGGACTGCATGAAGTTTTCTTTCACTTTCCCCTCTCCCTTTTCTTTGTAACAAAGTCCTTCCCGCTTGATATTTTGTGTCCTTTTACTGACTGCAACTTTTCTAACCCACAATAAACCTCTTTCTGGGCTCCCGGCACTCGTGAAATGATTGCTTTTTCGCTGCTGCTCGCTCCAGCATGGTTCCAGCCGCCTGGGATCCACCGCCGCTGCCCAGGGGAAGCCTTGGGAGTGGGGATCGGGCAGGGAGGCCCGATCCCCGGTTGGGAGCGCTAGTTCCGCCAAGGACGGGACAGCAGAACGTAGCTCCCCCTTCAGCTCCAGCTCCTGTTCCCCAAAATGGACTGATCTTCTAATGGCCAGCCTAAACCATAGGCTGGCCCCTGCATCCAAGCCCCTCTGTTTGGACTTTTGAGATTTCTGGACTTTCTTTCCTTTCATGAAATGAAATACAAAATAAAATATTTTCTTATGGATATGGGTTGGGATGGGTGGTGGGTTGTGGTACATGAAATGCCTGTATATGGATGATGCCTGTATTTTGTAATTATGAAATATGTATCCCTCAATGAACTCCCCTGTATCTTCCCCTCCTTGACCCCTTACCCCAAGAACCCAGCCTGACCAGGAACTGCCTGAGGGAAAGAGCCCAAGCCTCTTTCCCCCAAATCACCCATTGATTGACTCATTTTGCATGGACAATGCTGCTGCCCCCCCCAATTTCGTCTTCGGAGCAAGGCCAACGAAGGAGGGCAGGGTCAGCAGAGCCCCGGAATAAAAGACTGATTAATCCACTCAAGAAATTGTTGATCCTCCGGGCGGTCCGATTTCGACCCAGCTATTCATATCGCTTGCCAGACCCATTAAGGACAGGAAAGCCTTTGTTTGACAAACATCACCTGGGACAATGGCCCGCATTCCAGCAGGCAGGAAATCCCAAATCCCATCATCTCTCCCCCCATTGTCCGCGGCTGTCACGCCTCCTCGCTCCTGATTGGCCAGAACCTAGGAAGCGAGCAGAGGGCGCCCATTGGCCCTCCCGAGGCAGAGAAACGCTCCCATTGGCTCCTGACGGGGGAGGGCGGGATTACCTCCTCCCAGCTGTTCCAGCCTCAGCCAATCAGCGTGAAGCCGGCTGACAGGGGGGCGGGCGGGATTTTCAAACTGCTTTTCCTTTGTCTCACACTGTATAAAAATGCCTGGAAATTCTTGTACTGCATGCTCTGCAGTGGAAAGATTCCTGTATTGCATCCGATCAGCTGAATCGCAATAAACGCCTCGGTCGCTGGACTCCTTTCGCCTGGTGAGGATTATTTGATTTTAATAACTTTTTGCGCTCTTGGATTGGCTTCCGGAAAAATCTCGCCAAGGTATCCAGGACCCTCTTTGGTGCGGTCCTTGGGCTCTCCCACCTGGGAGGCCCCCCAA